TTAATGGATATGTGAATCATATCCGGATGTTCACAATATAACAATTAAATGATTGAAATTGTTATATAATATTATAGTGGATCTCAGATCATTTTTTTGGTGATCCACAGATTTAAACTTCACTTTTGTAGATGAATTGACCACACGATGAATTTTGACTTGAATACTAGAGGGATTGATGTGAAATAAAATATGAGAATTGGGAGACTTGAGAGTTCATGAGAATAGATTTTACTTAATAAATAGTAATCCTTTCAATTGCTACTTTTACTTTTAATTGGAGAGACTAACTTCAAAATAATATCTGATCTTGTACCAGTTTTTACTCCCTATAGTGGTGATATTTTTGTCTGTAGGCTCGGTGAGAGCTCATGGAGGACATTTGAAGGAGAGTATTTTTATCCAGATATTGATTTTCTGTATCATGATTGGAGATTCTATATATCAGGTGTCTTGACAAAATCATTTCAATTTTCGGTGCGCACACACTTGACAAAGTTGGGGAGAAATTAGTTCCATCAGTTATGGGCTTGACGGCTTTTGATTATCTTGTTGAATCTACACGGGAGGAGTTGTTGGTGGTGAAAAGGGAACTTGATCGATATAAGAGTAATAAGATATTTAAGGTGCTCTGGTTGGATTTAAGTGATGAGAAAATAGTTTTTGTTGACTTGACTAGCATAGGTGATAATGTGCTATTCGTGGATAATGTTCAAGCTATGGCTTTTTGTGCTGGAGATCTGGAGGGCTGTGAAAGGAATTGCATTTATTTTGTGGATATTCTTGGTGAGAAGAAGGGCAAGGGGCTGCTTTTATTTGACATAGAGAAGGGCCAGATTGAACAAGGACCGTTGTTTTTGTTTACTTGTGAAGGGCAAGGGCTTCGAGTGGGTAGTTCTAATTCTTGGTTAGTGATTTTCTTGAAATGAGGTAGGCTTTTTTAAAGTAAAATTTGCAACCATTTTCCTGATTTATGTTTTTAGTAAATGAACTCTAATTCGCTGATCAAGATTGCTTGTTCACTTTTCTTTATAAATGTTGTTGCTGCTAAAAATTCCTATGAATAGAACTGCAAAAGTCATGTTCCCCTTGTGCACAAACACTCGCCAACACTGTTGTCTGGTGGGTGAGGGTGCGTGAATACGTGTGCCTGCCTGTCCACACACATGGATGCAAGCGCTCATGCTCCCGCACCCACCCTCACAAAGAACATGGTTGTCACTTGGTATAAGTAGAGTATGACGGTTACAAGGTGGCGATTTATCTAGCAAAATGTGATACCAATAAATAGATCAAGTGAAATCCACATTTTCTAGTGTAATTTGGAGGATGGGTGGATGAGAATGAGCAAACTTGCTACGAAGGACCAAAGTTGGTCCTTGGTACCAGGGATTCCCATATATCTATCAGGTATGGCCATAGATGGAGAAATATGGGCAGCCTCATCATCATCAAATACTCCTAATCGTTTAATACACGACATTGTGAGGAGTATTTTGCACATACTGTCCAAGTTATAATTAGATGGCTTCCTGCCGGTGCAATGCACATATTTATTAGTATGATTGCACTGAGCATATATGGTGATTATGGTAATAACCCTTTTATTTTTTTGTACTATGCAGATTTGAAATTAAACAAAACGAAGCATTGCCACTAAGAATGCATCGACCTCTATGATATGAACAATCAGCTTACCCATCTCATTCAGTTCCTGGAGAGCATCAGTTTGGTTCTAGATGAAACCAAGAGGTTGTTCCTGCGGTAGTCTGAGTCTATTTTCATAATTTTGAGGGCGACTATCTTCTCTTTTCTCTCATTGCTAATTTTGAAACATACTTCTTTTGGAACAAAGATTTTAAGAGTGTCTTTTGTTTCTAGTTCTATTCCATTTGGTTTTCTATGTCTCTGATCGTAGTTTGAATCGTTATCTCGGATCATGATTGAAGGCCATTGTGCTGCAATGATGCTTTCACATTTTAGATTTAATCGAGACTTATTTAGCATCTAATTGCTAATTTGATTCTGTAGGAACAAAGATATTGTGTCCGGCATTTATATGCAAGTAAGATGCAGCTACTGACACAAATGTTGATGTCGCAAGAGGCTTCGTCCTTTGAGATGCTTGCAGTTGCAGCCACGTACTGCTCTATTTGAGATCATATATATGCAAAGCAACCAGTGAAAAGAAGATATTTTTGAAGGGATGCTAGAGACTTGAGGCGAGCATGCAAAAAATGCTTTTCAGATGAAAGAGTTGAAAGCCTTTTATTGACCTTTACTCCTTATTTATTTAAATTGTACATGCCAAGGTTTTAAATATCGGATATTGAGGAAATATCAGACAATCAAAATCCATGTTGGATTGTAGATATTGGAGAAATATCAGTAATAATATAACACATATCCGAGCGGCATATTGGATGATGTGATTATATAATATAATATTCTAAAATGTTACTTACATATCTAATCAAGCCTAAGCATACAAAGATGTAAACAATATATGTTTAGGAATTTGGATCAGTAACCAATTGTAAATATTTTACCTTCAGCAAAAGAGCTTAACAAATTTTTCTAAAAAGTTTCATATGATTGGAGTTTTTACCCGAAAAACATTTTTGCATAGCTATATCATTCAGTGACAAAGTTATATAAAAGGATATATTGGATAGTGACAAAGTTATATAAAAGGATATATTGGATAGCATGTTGATTAATATATCGACCATTGTTGGGATACATCGCTAAAAATTTGCTAAAAAGTTGTAAAAGATATTAAGATCATGTCATTTTGTGGCAAGCCTTATAAAAAGATATTAGTATGCAGGTAAACAAATCTGTATGAACTAATCACTTGCCGCCGCGACACAAACACCCCCACACCCACCCAAAAATACAGAAACACATGGAGCTTTATCTACAAAATACCCCCGGGTCTGCTCTTTTTTTTTGTGTTGAGAGTATTGGATGAGAGGATATGTGGGGAATCCAATGAGCCAATATGCGGTTTGAACCTTAAGATGATCGTAAAAGTAGATTTTGAGCTTAAATCATTGTGATGTTCAAGTAAAACCCCAAAACCATCAATAAAAAGAAAGAAAGCGCTGCAGCCAAACAAAGAAGAATCATGAATTCCGGAGTTTCTGCATGTCTGATTTGAAATTTTAAATATAATCAAGAGATCAGAGAGTAATGTCATGTAAAGATAACAGATCGTGTAAAGATAAAAGGAAAACTAATTAGTTGCTGACATTGAACACTTTCTGAGATCACTTTTGTCCTACACAGGACTATTCAATTTGATAGAAGCAATAAAACATGAAATAAGATCTACAATAACAATATCGTGGTTCACTGCACATTCACATAACAAAGTAACCTAGGTACTACAAGAATCAAGGGTGGGTTAAGCCATATGTATCCAGTTGACCAAAGTAAAAAAGCAACTACTACCGTATCTTCCTCTTGCCATGATGGATACAATTTCACGTACAACTTGATTCACATAAGAACTAGGTGGATGTGCACAAGACGTATATGATCACGATCACCTTTCTTGAAACTAGCATATTTGGTTAACGACACAAGAAGCCTACATTAAAATGAGAGAGTAACAAGTCATAATAAGAATACTAGTAATAATGTGGTATCATACATTACTGTTTGTAATATTTACGTAAAGCAATGTACAAGATGGCAAATTTCAGAAAAGATGAGTAGTGAGTTTAATCACAACCAAGGCATGGAGTTCGTAACATTTGAATCGATGAACAGAACACGACACTCTTTATTTGAAGATAAAAACAGGTTTTCCAACAATTCAAAATGTCCATCACATTGCAAAGACTCCATGGGAACCCACAAACAAGAAGATAAATACCCTAATCTGATATAAGCAAGGTTTTGCTAATGGACTAACTACTACAGAAAATCACCTTTGAGAAGCATTTCTTAGTAAGTTATACTCCCATACTTTCAATATCTCTCCCACGTTCTTATTTTTATTCAAATTTAAGATGTGAATGTAATTACATCATACAAACTCCAATGGTGAAAGGCCGAACGTAGCATCAAGGTGACACACACAGATGACATGCAAGTAGTATCAGCAACTCCTGAATCTAATTTAAGCAAAACAAGAGTAAACAACAGATTTTGTTAAGAAACCTCAGGAGAAATACTTAAGTGATTGAAAGTTGCAAGGTTGTTTACGCATGCATTTTAGCTCTTTAATCTTTATTGGTTGAAGAGTTCATGCAAGTGGACATTTGGCGGCTCAATTACATACACATTATGGGCAGTGGGCACAGTGAACTGAAAGTTATTTCAAATTGGGCAAAACAATTGTTCATTTGCATTTTCTTTCATGCAATCATCAAAAAGAAATCATCCGCCGTTGAAGGAAAGACCAACAATAACAAAGTAATATACAAATGTTGGGTAGGGACCTAATTCTATCACAAATGAGTTGTGAGAAAAAGATCACCCACAAAGAGCAGGAACATATTGACTATCAACCTTTCATAAAACAATATTCATCCTCAAAATATTTGAGGGACGAACGTAATTGTCTAAGCAAAGGATTAATTTTCAATAAAAAACGATTATCACCTCAACATAATATAAAAATCACGAAAATCATGGAGCATTATAGACAGATAATTCACAGTCACGGATCCATCTACATCAAAAATATAAATCACGTTCATTCTAGATACTAAAAAATATAGCCGGAATTGTATTCAACTGCATTGACTAGATATAACTTACCGCTTCAATCGGTTGATTTCTTCCGAGCAGCTCTAGCATTGTCGTACTCGAATTTGAGAACATTAGGTATATGTGAGGAGTCCCTGATGTAAAGGAATCTCCCAATTGTACTTTCCTCAATTGCTGGGAAGTAATCTATGAGCATATTATTCACAATCCAGAACCAACTCACACCAAGAACAAGACCAAGGGCTGCCCCAGCAAAAACCTAAACCATTTTGAAAATTATCATTATATATTGAACGATGCTAGTAACAAAAGATATGTCCCCATTAATAAAACAAACTTCAAGAGAGTTATTTCTCTTCTCTTATAACCAGGTTTCAAAGAGTGAAATACATACATATGATTGGAGTATCAAAATTGGGATAATAACAATGACATAAGAATCCCCCCTGGTATGTAATGCTAGCCAACCATTTTAATTAAACTACAATAAAAGTGCAAAGTTTTTTTGAAATTTAATTATGTAAGAATCGCCTAGCTGTAACTATAGCCAAAACCTTTTAACAGAATATTAACCAATTTATAAATTCTATCAGCAAAATAAATTTACATTTATATCAATAGCTATGATTACAGTCTTAAGTTATTTGTCAGGGATCGGAGCATCAGGAGTTGAAGAAGCTGCCATGTTGAGTGCACAGGGAGCTGGAGGAGATGGACGACATTGAGAACCAGGCAACCAGGCTTACAGGGGACTATTTTGTAAGACTTTTATAGTCCAGGGTACTTGTAATAAATGTCCAAAGTCTGTTACAACAGATGTCCAAAAGTCTGTTAAAAACAGTTAAGGTTGTTTTGTTAGTTGTAAGCCTGCACGTTTCTGTGCACGTTTTCCTTATTTTGACTGTTTGAGCATCAGTATAAAAGAGAGAAATGTAATCAGAGAAGGACAATAAGAAAAAAACTTTGATTTCTCTTCTTCAATACAATCTCACTTTCTCTCTTCTATCTCAATTTCTTTTCACTCTTTATTCTCAAGAATCTGTAGTTTTCTGCCATGGCCAGAAACAGCAATCTGAGATCCAACCGAGGCTCGCGAGCCTCACATTTGGTATCAGAGCAGGTTGAGGCTGAAGCAGGCGCTGAAGAATTCATGGGGAATCACGATGGAGCTTCAACAGACGAGGGAATGCAATTGGGAGTTCAATTGGAAGACAACATTTCCAGTCGGAGGTTCTTCAACCAAATGAATCGCATGGAGGAGACCCTCAACCAACAAGGACTCATCAATCAAACAGTGATGGCAAGATTGCAAGAATTAGGTTCTCAATTGCAAGAACTCAAGAGCACCAAGGATCAGGCAACTCTGAGTTCATTAAACAATGGCGTGAGAATCAATCAAGGAATCTTAGGGGCAGGGTCCAGAGATGAACGTGGGATTCCTGGATCAGACAATAATAATCAGATTCATGAGAATAATCCTCAAACACAGAGGAGGATTGATTTGTCTGGTGAATGTCCCCCAACTCCTAGCCAAAATCATGGTAATTTCTTGAACCACAAGAATTCCTTTTTTAGTAATCAGAAATTAGTTCAACCGAAATCTCTGAGACTAGATTTTCCATCTTTTTCTGGATCTGAGAATGTGATCTCTTGGTTGGAACAAATTGAGCAAATATTTGATTACTATGATATCAAAGAGGATGAGTGGGTTAAGGTCTGTTCCTTTTATCTAAGGGATGAGGCCCTACAGTGGTTTAGATGGTGTACAAAAAATCTTGACTACTATAATCACTGGAAGGTTTTAAAAGAAGAGATTATTACCAGGTTTGGGCCTAGTGAGCTCCTCAGACCATATGATACATTCTCAACTATGAAGCAAACATCTACTGTGAGGGAATATTTGGGGAAGTTTGAACAAACTTTAAGTCTGTTAGATGATCAGCCCTCAAAACGTCACATATTGGAAAAATTTATAGGGGGTTTGAAGGATGAGTTGAGATATGAGGTAGCTGCTGCGAGACCCTCATCTCTGAAAGGGGCAGTATCCTTGGCCAAGTTATTTGAGGATAAACAAAAAAATGAGAAGAGAGTTAGAGGTAATTGGAATGTCTTTAATCAAGGCAGTCCTACAACTCGTACATCTATCGATACTCCTGTTCAAGAAAGACTGAAATCAAGTCCACAAGTCAGGAAACTCACTCCTGAAGAAATTCAAAGAAGAAGAAGTCAGAATATCTGATTCACTTGTGACGAAAAATGGCATAGGGGACACCAGTGCAAGGATAAGCGCTTGTTCATATTGGAGGGCATCATGACAGGAGTTACGGAGGAAGATGTCAATGACCCCTTAGAAGAGGAAGCTGGACATGTAGCAGTGGAGTTGGCTGAAAGCTTAGTGAGAGGGGCTCCATCTATCTCTGTACAGGCTCTTAGTGGAATAACAGCTTCCCATACCATTAGAATAGTGGGTTATTATAAAAATCAAGCCATTAGCATCTTGATAGACTCTGGCTCCACCCATAATTTTATCAATTCCAAATTAGTCAAGAAACTGGGCCTGACAGTGACAGAGTATAGTAACTTTGATGTCTTGGTAGCCAGTGGAGAGGTAATCAAGGGAGCTGGGGTATGCCAAGAAGTTTCACTTGATTGTCAAGGGGTAAATATACAGGTCAATTTGTTAGTAATGCCTATGGGAGGCAGTCAGATTGTATTGGGTGCAGATTGGATGAAGACTTTAGAGGACATCACATTGAATTTCCAAAAATTACAAGTGACATTCTTAAGTGATGGAATCAAAAGAACCTTGCAGGGGGAAATTCCAGGAGAAATGCAATTAGTCAATGAAAAAAGCATTGCCAAATCAGTTAGAGAACAGGGACAAGGGTTCCTGATTCAATTGTGTAGTGTAAGTCTGCAGGAATCAAAATGGGAGGGCTTCAGTGAAGAATTACCTGAAGACATGCATCAGTTGATTCAAGAATTTGATGTGATTTTCCAGGAATTGCCACACCTTCCTCCTGCCAGAGAAATAGACCATCGAATTCCACTTGAGCCTGGAACAAAGCCAGTATGTATCAGACCTTACAGACATGCACACTTTCTGAAGGAAGAAATTGAAAAGCAAATTGAAGAGATGTTAAAAAGAGGAACCATTAGACCCAGTCATAGTCCCTTTTCTTCACCTGTAGTCATGGTAAAAAAATCAGATGGGAGCTGGAGATTGTGTATAGATTACAGAACCTTGAACAAAGCCACTGTTAAAGATAAATTCCCTATACCAGTCATAGATGAGCTTCTTGATGAGCTCCATGGGACACAGTTTTTCACCAAGTTAGATTTAAAATCTGGTTATCACCAGATAAGAATGTATGAACCTGATATTCAGAAAACTGCATTTAGAACTCACAGTGGACACTTTGAATTCTTGGTGATGCCATTTGGTCTTACGAATGCTCCTTCAACATTTCAGGCTCTCATGAATACCCTCTTTAAAAGTTTACTCAGGAGATCTGTTTTGGTCTTTTTTGATGATATTCTGGTCTATAGTAAGGGGTGGCAAGATCATCTAGTGCATTTGAAGCAAGTTTTTCAAATTATGAAGGACCACAAATTAGTTGCAAAGCTGTCCAAATGCAGCTTTGGGCAGAATCAAGTTGAATATCTTGGGCATGTTGTGTCACAAGAGGGGGTTAGTGTAGACCCCAAGAAAATTCAAGATGTAGTGGAGTGGCCTATTCCCAGATCACTCAAAGCATTGCGAGGGTTCCTAGGTCTGGCTGGATATTATAGGAAATTTATCAAAAATTTTGGAACAATAGCCCAGCCTTTAACACATCTTTTAAAGAAGGGTCAGTTTGGTTGGAATTCAGGTGCAGAGATTGCTTTTAAAAACCTGAAGGAAGCATTGACAAATTCTCCAGTCTTAGCTATGCCTGACTTCACTTTACCCTTTGTGATTGAGTGTGATGCATCTGGTACAGGAGTTGGGGCTGTGTTGATGCAGAGGGAAAGGCCAATAGCATACTTCAGTTTTGCCCTAAAAGGAAATAATGCTACCCTGTCTACTTATGAGAAGGAAGTGTTAGCTTTAATCCTCTCCACTAGAAGGTGGCAGCAATACCTACTTGGTAGAAGTTTTGTTATAAGTACTGACCACCAGAGCCTCAAATATATTCTTGAGCAAAGAATTCAGGCAGGAGTCCAGAATAAATGGCTTGCTAAACTACATGGATATGACTATGTGGTAGAATACAAACCAGGAAGAATGAATAATGCTGCAGATAGTTTATCCAGAATTCATGAAGAAGGAGTGGAACTTTCAGCCATTTCTGTGGTCAATAATGACTGGTTGAAGGAGATCAGAACTTTATGCACTAAAGATGCTTTCTATAAAGAACTTGATGAGAAGCTACAGCAAGGGCAAGTGAGCACTGAGGAGTATTCCAGAAAAGAAGGCATCTATTACTATAAAGGCAGGATTTTACTCAGTCCTCATGCACATGAATTGAAGACTGCATTATTGGAGGAACATCATAATAGTCCTACTGCAGGTCATTCTGGTATTACCAGAACATTACACAGATTGAGGAGGTCTTTTTACTGGGCAGGAATGAAAAAAGATGTCCAAAAACATGTACAATCTTGTGATACCTGCCAAAGAGCTAAGGGAGAAAATTTGGCATCCCCAGGCCTCCTGCAACCATTGCCTATTCCAGAGTATATCTGGGAAGATTTGTCCATGGATTTTATCACAAATCTACCAAAGAGTGGGAATCAATCTGTGCTGTTTGTTGTGGTTGACAGGTTATCAAAGTATGCACATTTCTTTGCCTTAGCACACCCCTACAATGCTCAAATTGTTGCTCAGGTGTTCTTTGATGGAGTGTTTAAACTCCATGGAATGCCAAAATCCATAGTTAGTGACAGGGACCCCTTGTTTACTAGCTCATTTTGGAAGGAACTCTTCAAATTGCAGGGGAGTCAGCTTAAGTTCAGCTCAGCATATCATCCACAGACTGATGGACAAACTGAGATAGTTAATAAAAATCTGGAGTGTTATCTGAGGTGTTTTTGCTGTCACAAGCCAAGAGAATGGAGTAAATGGTTGTCACTGGCTGAGTTTTGATATAATACTACATGGAAGGTTTCAACAAATACTACTCCTTTTGAAGCAGTTTATGGGCGACCTCCTCCATCATTACTCTCATACATTCCCAAGAGTTGTAAAGTGGAGTCTGTAGATTCTGTCCTCTTCTCCAGAGATATAACATTACAGTTTCTTAAGGACAGTTTAAAGAAAACAGCAGAACATATGAAGAGATTTGCTGATAAGCATAGGAGTCCCAGAAATTTTGATGTTGGAGAATGGGTATTTCTTAAGCTTCAGCCCTATAGACAATTGAGTGTTTCTTCCTACAAAACTCACAAGCTTTCCCCAAAATTCTATGAGCCTTACCAGATCTTAGAAAAAATTGGTGAGGTTGCCTACAAGCTACAGCTTCCAACTCAGGCACAGATACATCCTGTGTTTCATGTCTCCCAACTTAAGAAACGAATAGGAGCTGATATTGCCATTCAAAGTGATCTTCCTAGCTATGTTGCTGAGCTGGTTGATGAACCTGAAAAGATATTGGACAGGAGAACTATAATTCAAGGGAGGAAGTTAGTATCTCAGGTTTTAGTCAAGTGGAAGCAGCGTTCTTCCTTAGATTCTACTTGGGAACCTTATTGGGATCTGGTCAAGCGATTTCCTGCTTTTGACCTTGAGACAAGGTCCAATTTAAGGGGAGGGGAATTGTCAGGGATCGGAGTATCAGGAGTTGAAGAAGCTGCCATGTTGAGTGCACAGGGAGCTGGAGGAGATGGACGACATTGAGAACCAGGCAACCAGGCTTACAGGGGACTATTTTGTAAGACTTTTATAGTCCAGGGTACTTGTAATAAATGTCCAAAGTCTGTTACAACAGATGTCCAAAAGTCTGTTAAAAACAGTTAAGGTTGTTTTGTTAGTTGTAAGCCTGTGCACGTTTCTGTGCACGTTTTCCTTATTTTGACTGTTTGAGCATCAGTATAAAAGAGAGAAATGTAATCAGAGAAAGATAATAAGAAAAAACTTTGATTTCTCTTCTTCAATACAATCTCACTTTCTCTCTTCTATCTCAATTTCTTTTCACTCTTTATTCTCAAGAATCTGTAGTTTTCTGCCATGGCCAGAAACAGCAATCTGAGATCCAACCGAGGCTCGCGAGCCTCACATTATTTCACACAATGTCATATCCTATAGTTCCCATTACTCGTGATTCATCAATAATTTCAACAAAAATATCAAAAATTTATGATAAATAGCAAATTTCCAGCAGACTGATCAACTTGCCGCATTTGATAGCTTGATGCCAATGAAAGAAGTGATCTTTCTGCGGTCCTAACTTAAGAAAGAAACGAACTTACAATATATTAGGATATAATGTTAGCAAAAATTTTCAATGAAATTTCAATGACTTCCAATATAAAGTTCTAAGCAAAATTAATACGTAGTTATCAGATGTTTACTATAAGTCATAGTCTTAAGTCATCACAATGATAATCTAACATCTGAAAAATCTTCATTATCCAACACTAATTTATGATTTATCAGAATTACGATGGACAGGAAATTCAGCAGGATCCAACTTGGGTTGATGCCATAAAAAATGATGCTCTTTCTCGATGGAAAAAAAAAACCACAAATTTTTTGAACAATAATCACAAACTAAAAAGGAATCAGATTATCTTCGCGACCAAAGCCCGAAGCCAGCCAAAGTCAACCAATTTCAAATTGCTCATGATTCAACATTTACTTCAGAAAAACAAATCAGAAATTCCAAGGTTGATGTCAATGCAAGTAGAGATCTTTCAGCTGAATGGCAATCAAAATTCAAAAAGAACCAAACTTTTAACCTGAGCAACAGTATGGTACCCCAAATAAACCCTAGACCACATCGTCAGCACCTGCCGGCGCGCCACACGGCTACCGCAGACCGCCACCCTCGCCCGCCTCCGCCGAACGGCCAGCCCGGCACCGGCCGAGTCCCCTTCAAGCACATCAGCGACAGACTAAAGTCGCGGGAAGAAGATCATTGTACTCTGACGAGGTGGCTCGACCGGCCACCCGTGGGAGTCGCGAGCCTCTCGAGCGCGGCGCAGGTCTCGGGTCGAAGATTGGCTGTGACGGAGGACCTTGGAACCGACGCTCGTTTGAGGGATCGCGATATGGAAGAAGGGCCGAGCGCGAAGCAAGGATGCCCTGCGAGCGTCGCGGCGGAAGTCGAAGGTGGGAGGTGAAGCCGGCCGAGGAGATGAAGACGGCATGAGGGCAGATCCCTCAAGACTAAGGCGAGGAAGTGGCCGAGGGCCGGTCGCTGCGGTGTAGCGGGACGTGCGTTAGGGTTACGGCCTTGAGAGGAGAGATGGTCGCCATTGATGTCGGTAGCGGAGAAAGTATTGGGTGTGATTTGGGGAACTATGAAGATTTGGGGACCAATTTACAAATACTTAAAAAACGTTTAGGGGATTGATCCAAACATAAGATTTGGGGGCTAATACAAAATATGAAAAGTTGGGGAACTAATTTAGAAAAGGTCCAGAATATTATTTTTTTTTCCCAAAAAACATTTTTAATTTAAGTGTTTGTATCATATAAGATGCTCCAGAAATACTACCTTGTTTTTTTTAAAATAACTTTGATAGGATTAGTGATCCCCGAAATCACAAATTCTTCTTCTTTTCTCTTTATAAAGAAAAATGAATAAAGGGAAGAAGACGACCGTTTGGGGGAGAGGAGGAGAGTTTGAGTTTGGATCGTTAAATATGGGTTCAAGAAATGTGTTTACGTGTGAAGTAAACTTTTAAAGCAACAACAAAACCTTTTACTTTTTCTTTATGGCAAATTAGCACTTAAATATGTTATAGTTTTGGTTACTGCACACTTACTTACTGTCAATTGTTTATGGTGGCACTTATATACTTTGAAGTTCCTAAAATTTGTACTTTAATTCCTTTTATTCTACAAGTGCGAGGATTTTCTCTTGATATCTTCCATCGGACACTCACAAGCTAATTTTCAAACTTATAACCCTTAATGTTTACTGAATTTACTATTAAATCCACCGTAATTATATTTTAAAATTTCGTTGGGTGGATTTTAAAATAGAATTAGAGCATGTTTACATAAATTCAACAAATATAAGTATTAAACATTTTCTGAAAGTAGCTCGTGAGGTATAGTCAAATTCGGGAGAAAATTCACATGTTTACATAACAAAAGATATTGTTCCCCTAAAAAAAAATTATAGTACACTTTTTGGAAACTTCGTAGTAACTACTTCTCTATATTTAAAAGAGGAGTCAAGATTTACTGTTCACACTGCAGTAAATACTACACTAAATTACTATAGCATAAACAATAAATACCGTATCATAAATAGTAAAGCTAATCCTCTTCGATTGAGGTACTGTTTATACTACAGTAATTTACTGTATCATAAACAGTAAATCAAATCTGCTCCTCCGTGCTTAAAGTTGCTATTTATGCTACAGTTTATTGTATCATAAATAGTATAGCAAATCAAATATATTAAAACCTGGATCATCTTTAAAATATAGAGGAGTAGATATGATTTCTAAATCAAATATATTAAAGCTTGGATCCTTTTTTAAATATAGATGAATATATATGATTTTTATTTTTAAGTATACAATAATTAAATCAAATGTATTAAAATTTAGAGCGAGACAAGTTTAAAATATAGTGCTTAAAAATATAGGAGGCCGTGCTTTGCATAGGGTGATCGCTAGTGTACCTAGTGCGGAAAACAATTAAAGGTATATAAGTGCAAAGTGTAGGAAACGATAAGGTATTTAACTGCTAATTTAACTTTGTTTTTCAACCGAAAATAATACACTTTCTTTGCCTCGCGGTGCTCTCCCACTCTGAGAGCGGACCAAGGTCTTCAAGACTCGTCTCTACTTTTTGTATCTCTATTTTCCTTCGAATTGACAGAAAACAGAGAGAGAAAAATGGCAGAGCAGGAATCATCTCCTCTTTCCACTCATCGGGACTCTATCAAATCTTCAGGTACTCCTCCTCTTCGCTTCAAAAATTTCGAGAAAATTGTAAATAAATAATTTTTTTTTTTCGTCATACCAAAATCTTGATGGTTAGCAATTCCTAGTGAAGTCTGGTAATCGTTAATGATCAGTTTCTGTTATATTGGCTCGTTGCCAAATTTTGTCTAATACCCAGAAACGCACACTACCCATTTGATGTAATGCCTATGTGGTCTCAACTTTTTTATAAAAAAAAGAGTGTAGTTTAGTATAGATCCCAAATGGGAATTTATAGTATAGAGCTCTACCTAATTTCATTGGGAAATTTGTTATAACCAAATTCGGGGGTGCTCCTATACTCATTTAGCATCATACCTTGGAGGTATAAGCTTGCCTATACACATTTTTTGGGGTATATAATCGTACCATTTTGTAGATGATAAGCCGTCCAAAATCAATTAGAATTATGACCTGAAATTAGTATGGCATCATTGCCAATGAGGATCAAATGCAGGTGTCAGTGTTCCTGCTTAGGAATTTGGTACTCAAATCATCTCAAAAATCATTTGATGCAGCAATGAAATTGAGCTGACCTTTATGTTATGCCGCCGTCTTTAGTTAAAGTAGGCTTGTGAGAACTTTGGACAGACTTCTGAGATCGACTAGATCTGATGAGTTTAGGGTTTATGTTGATACGTAGGGGGGTAAAAATCAACTGAAGGAGCTGCTACTGCCAATTGAATTGAAAGCTGACGTTAGAGAGCTGTCGTCTATGTGGTGGAAAGAGCTCTGCTCTTCCGAGGTCAAATGAGGTTGTTATTAGTTTAAGGAAGAAGGAAGATAAGTACTTTCTGTTTGAGGGTATCATCTAGTTTTTCCACTGATGTGGACCATTGGTCAAGCATTTTAAGCTGGGTGGATGGTTGATGAAGATGTGAGAAGGAAAAGGACAACTGCAAACTTGTTTACAGTGAAGAATGATTTGACTAGAATCTTTGTATGGGTGATTGTTTGGTGGAAAATTTGTAGTAAATAAAATGAAAGAAATTTAATTTGTATTCTCTCTATCTTAATTACAATTTGAATTCCGATTACAAAAGAGGGGAGAATTGATTTGAATTCTCCCATTTGTTTAAATCTGGGTTCTTCACGGTAGCGATGGAGTGCTTCATTCGAATGTTTACGTCGAATTTACTCTCCGTTGACGATCCACACGTCTTGTCTTGTTGGAACAACTAACTTGTGTGGCAAGTTTGATTAGGAACTCTTAACGAGTTTTGTAACTCAGAGCGAGTTAAAAACTCTATGAACAGAATTGTTAAAACCGAAAATTCGGTTAATAGCCAAGTAGATTTGTTTGTTGCTGAAAGATACTCCAAGATCAGATTTTCTTGTTGCCGAAAATCCAAGAAGAATCAGCCGACGCCTCCTCTGTGAGAAATCCGATCTCTTCAGCCTCGATTCAATCTTCAAAAGACCGACAAAAAAGAATCCAACCCCTTTACTCGATTGAGTAAGGCGGTTATTTATAGGGGGATAAGGGGTGTAACCAACCCCTAAATCCGTTTCTAAGTGGGCGTTATATCCTCAGATAATGGGAAAAACGGTTCTGAAACCGTTCGACTCATGTTTGAATGAGTCAAACGCCCAAATTGACGTTTAGGACCCTAACTCCGCGTCTTAGACTGAAGACGCGGAGTTGGGCACCCGCTGGATGATGAAAAACGAGAGGGCCGCCCGCGTTATGTTTGCTGAGGGTTGGAAATGCGGGGGTGCTCGCATCTCAAGAATTGAAACGCGGAGATGAATTCCGCGTTTAGAAGAGGCTAGTGACTTATAACCTCTTCTGTAGAACGTTGTAAAGACCATTGTTGAGTGATCTTTGTCTTGGTTGTTTTGGGGTGTGAAAGTCGTCAGATTGTAACTCTCACAGTTGATGGTAAATGCCACTGAATAGAGTTTTCGTCAGTCGTCGGAAGGGCCATTGAATTGTAACTCCTCTCTATCTATGTGAAAAGTTCTCCATTTGCAGCTTTCATTTATTAACGTGAAAGTCATCTTGATTGTAACCTTCTTAGTCAAGACTGTTGGTTGAGGTTTGACAGGGATTAACTATCTATTGTGATTTTTAGACAGCCTATAATGATGTGTAGTAAAATGTCAATTTCGTGAACGTACTGACAGTTACATGTCTAGGAATATGTTTGGCATGCTTCACTGATCATCACATGATGATGATATGGAATATTCTCCATAAATACCCTTCATTAATGATCCAAAGTTTCAGGCCAGTTTTACGCACTGCTTGTACCTTCATTATATTCTACAACTAACTACTAGGACTTGGCTTAAGCCGCTTAACAGTAGGTTTTGGAATAACCTCAAATTGATTCAGAGAGAGACATCCAAATAATATTGCAGTCTATGACTGTTGGGAGCTCAGAACCTATTGTTTTGTCAAAGACAAGTCTTATCACTTCTTCTCAATCATTAGATTTGGAGACTAACTACTAGGACTTGGTTTCAAATTAAGTTAGAAAATGACCTTAATTTTTTCCTGTTTGACGTTGGCCACATTTTAGGTTGTCCATATTAATTTTTCAGGTTTGGTAATGTAATTTCTGTTGCTTTAGTGCCATTATGTCAGATATGCATTTCCTGTAGAAGTTCAATCAGTCTTGAAAATGTTGTAAATTTTCACCTCTATCAACAATATAATCTACTATTTCAATGAGATAACTTTAAGGTTCTATATTCAGTCCATAATATTGCTGCAAATCGGAGGAAGCAACATGCTGTTACAGTGGGAAAGGAAAGAAGAGAAGCATTAATAAGAACAAAGCGCCTCTGCAGGGATGGAATTGACAGCAATGACATTTCATCTGAGGGTGATATGATTATTGAAGAAGAGAAACAAGCACTGGATGCCCAAACTTTGAGAACTGTGGAAAGCCTAAAATCTGCTTTACATTACCAGTAAGCAATCTATTGAAGCATTGATAGTTGTCAAAACTCATCATGAATATGAATATCAGTTATATACAGTTTGGTTTTTCTTCAGTCTATTCACGATATATGCTTTTAAATAGAACTTTAGAACAACAATCATGCTGCAGGCATTTACTCAACTATTCTTTGTTGACAATATGAATGCTTAGAGTACAATAAGCGCTGGAAGGATAAGTTACTGTATTTGTTCTTGTCATAAGTTATGCCTGGTTGTTTATTCAATTTATTCTAGAAATTCCATCTATTCATCCTTCCCATGTTGGTTCACTTTTTCTCCTCGCGGGGCCCTCATTCCATCTTGTTATGATGCACACAATTTCAATCTCTTTCGCCACCAATTGATTCTCAGCTGAAGCTCATTTCTGCTTATTTGTCATTTTGGTACTTCTACTTGTATCAGTTATTCATCTTAACTGTCTAACTTTAATGATTGATGCTTGTGGTTTTTTTAATACAATGCTTTATCTATTTAATAGTTTGGACTTTCATTCAATCTGATAGAATTTCATCTACCTATTTAATGGCATGCAATGATTGTTTAGTTTGTCTAAAAGCACTTGACTTTTTTGCTTTCGAATTCATATTGTTCAAGTCGTGGAACAATTACACATGCTTATTTACAGTAACTTCCTTGCTATGGTTGGGGGGTATCAGGTTATATGTCAAAATAAGTCAGGAGAAAACATGTGGAAAAAGCAGTATCTGAAGCTTTGTGATGCAGATCAAACATCTCTTTACTTACCTTCATTCTCGAGCGAGAATCATGTACATTTTTGCGTCCTCCCAGTAATACTTTTTTCCCTTAACATCCATTCTTTCTGGTGGCGGTGGAAGACAATTTTTGGGTCTGTTTGGTTTGATAGAAGTACCGAAAGAAGGAAATAGACCAAGGAAGTAACTTTCAAATTTATGAAGTAGGAGAAATTAATATTTTTTTCCATTTATTTCATATATTTTTTGATGTAGTGGAAATAGTACTTCTTTTTCTTCATTCCCTTTTTGTTTGGATAGTAAAAAAAGTTGTTAGGAAATAATTAATGAAGAAAATATTAATAAGAAAATTGTTTTTTCACTAATTAATGTACATTTCACCTACTTCCAAGCTACTTCTGAGCCATAAGGGGCAGAAAAACATTTAGGAAGTAGGAATGACACATAAGAGCGACATCTGCATTTAAGGAGTAGTGGAAGTAGGTTTTTCAGAGAAACAAACATGTTTTTTTTTGCTCGGAAATAGCAGAAATAGCATCTACTTCCTTTACTTCATCTACCTCATAATTATCTCTGTGCTAGGTGGATGAGCAAAGGAAAAGGGTTAACAAGATAATGGTACTTGACCAACAGACAGGTTAATGGATCAGCTTTCCTGTTAGTTATTCTTCTTAGAGAAATTTGTGGACTTGGAAGATGTTATCCAGCATGATTTCCTGAATGTCTCATTAGATAACACTAATATGAAGTCTTTGTCCACATCTCGATACGAGTATGCTGCTAGCCAAGTAAAACTAAAAAGCATTAAAATGGGATGAAAATTGAATTTGCATGCATCTGAAACTATCATTAATGATATGGCACAAATAATATCTTCTCATCTTTTGTTGTGACTTTGTATCCAAATGCTTATCCTGACTATTTCTGAGACCATTTTCCAAAATTTTAGAGGAAAAGGGGCAACAGAAAAGACAGTGGAGATACTTTGCACTTTGCGGCGATTGTTGTCTAGGTCTGATATACCTCCCATTGGAGCTGCCCTCCAAGCTGGAGCAGTTCCTGCCCTTGTGCAGTGCCTTTCTTTTGGATCAGCGGATGAACAGGTACAAACATTATCTAACAGTATTATGTCTGTGGGTGTTAGCAATTGCCTTTAACCCCTTGTGTCAGTGAGTGGATGGGATGGGATTTTGGTGTGCTTTAATTCACACTTAGCATTCAGTCGAAGTGGTTCGTTGTAACCACTCAATTGTGCTTGTGCTGCAGGGTGAATGCTTGACTGTATAGCTGCTTGTGTTTGTTCTTTTCCTTTATTTTTTTATTTTTTATTTTTTGTTTTTGTTTTTGTTTTTTTTTTTTTGGGTGGGGTGGGACGGATGTTTGGTTGCGCACTTCTCATTCATTCCAGAAAAAGATGGGATGGTAAAACAAAGTAAACAAGTCTGAATTTAGATTTTTACTGTTCATCTGAAGCTCCATAATCACCTTAGTTTCATTCTTGAATTAATCACTGTTGCCTGATTTGTATCCAACACCTTGCAAACCATCTCCACATCTTCTCATTTAAGAACACAGATCACTACTCTCTCTCTGTACACGGACAAGTGAAACTGGATCGAGTACCGGTAGTAAAAAGCAAATTAACTTTTTTGAAATTAACTTGATATATTTTCTACGACAAAGCCTTTTATTAGTTTAAATTTGTCTCATTCTCATTTTTTGGTACAATAATTAACTCATTTATTATTATACTTATGGACAAATCTTTGAAATAGACCACTTTTAAACTTAATTAGCAAAATAGACCAAAAAAATATTTAATTAGCAAAATAGACCTAAAAAAAACTTAATTAGCAAAATAGACCATCAGTCAAAGTTGACCTATTTTGCTAATTAAATATTTTCTTGGCTTATTTGAAAAAATCATATATATATATATATATATATATATTATATATATATATAATATATTATATAGTAATATATAGAGAGAGAGAGAGAGAAGAGAGAGAGGGAGAGAGAGAGAAAGAGAGAGAGATTAATGGGTATCATATGTCATATGAGAGGATTCTCTCATATACAATGATGTGGCACAATCTTCACCAAGGTGTATTTATGAGGCATTCTCTCTCCTACTTTATTCACTTGGTGGGATTGTGCCACATCATTGTATATGAGGGAATCCTCTCATATTGACATATGATATCCGCATTAATCTCATATATATATATATATATATATATATATATAATAATAAGTATATATAAGAGAGAGGAGAGAGAGACACCTGGTACGCAGTACTCCATGGAACTTGGTAGTGATGTGGATTGATCTGGCCCCTACATCACTACTCGAAAATAGAGCCTAAACCACTTTTCACCCACTCCAATGTGGATGTATGGATCAGATCAGTCCACATCACTATCAAGTTCGACGGAGCAATTTGGTACCAAGTTTCTCCATTTTTCTCATATATATATATCCTCTTGTTTTATTAACTATATATTCACCTCATCATGGCAATTTTTTAAATTGTGGGTTACACTCTTATTTTTTATTATATTTTTTTTTTCTTATTTGAAGTTAATGTTGGACGTAGGGACCAGATCAGTCCACATCACTACCAAGTTCAATGGAGCAACTTTGTACCAAGTTTCTCTATTTTTCTCATATATATATGTTCTCTTGTTTTATTAACTACATATTCACCTCGTCATGGCAATTTTTTTAAATTGTGGGTGTACACTCTTATTTTTTATTATATTTTTTTCTTATTTGAAGTTAATGTTGGTCTCCCTTTGCATGCATAAAAATTAACTCAGGTTATAATTTTAAATATAGTAATGACAATGAAAATTCATTTTATTATACTGTACATTTGTTAACTACAAAACAACACTTTCTAAAGAACAATGCACAACTAAATTTACTCCAAGTCTTTTTTTAGAAACTTACTTTTTACAATTAAATAGAAAATTATAATTGCATCAAATGTAACTTTTTCTATATATATATATATAAATATAATTTTTTATGAACAAAATAGTTTTGAAATTGATAAAATTTTGAAATGGACCAAATTTGACATTTAATTAGAAAAATAGACCAACTTTTAGCAAAAACAGTCTATTTTGCTAATTAAGTTTTAGAAGTGGTCTATTTCAAAGATTTGTCCTATACTTATTTTTGTATAAGTAACCAATCTATATTTTTGTACAAATAACCAATCTAAATTATAAAACACTAAATAGAACTCCTCCAGAGACATTTGTTTTAGGAAGATGAATCCTATTCAAACATGATTTAGGTTACATCCACTATAGTAAGAACTGTAAAAGTTGCGGTCAGCAATAAAATGTGAAAATAATAAAAAATCTGATAAATTCTGGTGTAGTTTTTTTTTATCTAAAGAATTTGATATCTGATACCTTCAATTTTTTTAGAAAATAACAAATAGTTGTATATATAGGAAAAACAAGAAAATATGAATTTCTATCTATCAATTGGCTTTTATAGTCCCTCCAATATAAGATGAATCTACAACATGAAACACAAATATTTTTCTTTAACTTGCATTCTTGCAAGGATTCTATTCACAAATACACACAACCAAACCTCGATCAATAACAAACTAGATCAACACTCATAAGCTCATTAATGCAGATCCTAATCAATATATGGTTTACACACACACACATCTAGGTTACTCGGACATGGCATTTTGGATGCCGTGTCCGTGTCCGACACGTGTCGAACACGGATTCTCCATGTCCATGCCTTGGACATGTGTTGTTCAAAGCAAAATCCGATTTCCCTATTACTTATACCCCCTAAACTAGTTTCTTTGATAATATTGGGTTCAAAACCAATTGGTTTTTGAACCCAAAAATTAAAACCCATCACTTAAATGTTTGAGAAATACCCATGGTATTATCCCATGAGATCAAAACTAAACTTTTGTTGTTAAACCTTATTCTTAGTTTGATTTAACTTAATTCTTAATTGCTCTAGATAATAGAAAGAGACATACACATGTTATAGGTATTTTAATTCAATATTTGACACACACACACACTGACACACAAAAGCCGTGTTCCCGTATCCTACATTGTACAAATCTATCGTGTCCCGTGTCCGTAACCGTATCCGTATCTACACCCGCATCCGTGCTACCTAGATGTACATATATACACATTGCCATTTTGAATTATAACATCCTGAAGTCTGTATGCTGACCTATTTTTGTTGATATAAGGTGAATCGTTCTAATTAGTTATGATGTATATGGTTATTCCTCATGCCAAAATTATGTAATGATCCTTGTTTTGTTTTTTTGTTTTGATCTCATAGTTACGCGAGGCAGCTTGGTGCCTCACTAATATAGCTGCAGGGGAACCAGAAGAAACTAAGGCTTTACTGCCAGCATTACCATTGCTGATAGCTCATCTTGGAGGTTAATTTCCTTTTTTGCATTGCTCAAGCATTGTTGCTTCATTTATGGTTTATGTATACATGAGTACTCATGTATATGATGTTTGACCAGTTTTTCATTAGTGCATAACTGGCCAGTGTCTTAGTTACATTTAGTCAATCTTTGCCTTGCGTAGTTGGTTTCTGATTCTTTTCCTCCCCATCTTTAGGTCCAGGATCAGTAAGTTATTCTTGAACTTGTCCTTTGTTGAAATAATTATAATGATGACTTGATCTTCTAGGGAATCAGACCAGAGATCTGTAGTCTACAAAACTAATAAAATAGATGAATATGTTCTTGTTAAACCGCCCCCAAAACCCAACCTGATTTGAATACCTTAAATCCTTCAGTTGAATAAGGATCCATATCTCAATGATGTAAACAATGTTATGTGTCAGTTTTTTCACTATTTAAGCATCTTCTGATGAGCTTTTCCTGTAACTTTTTTTCCCTTCATTCAGATTAAAACTATCTTTTATGTCTTATAAGTGCTTATTGCTTTTTCTACAATGGTCAGAGAAGAGTTCTATGCCTGTTGCTGAACAATGTGCATGGGCATTGGGTAATGTTGCTGGTGAAGGAGAAGAGTTGAGAAATGTTTTGTTGGCACAAGGAGCTCTGTTACCCCTTGCACGTCTAATTCTATCTAATAAGGGTTCAATCGCGAAGACAGCTGCTTGGGCACTATCAAATCTCATTAAGGTTTTCACCTTTATGAATACATAATTAGGAAGTGTTTTGATTAAACCATATTCCATGTCTATATTCCTTCTAGAACATTATCAAGCAGCATTGCTTTTCAAGTTAGTAATCTTCTCTGTGCAGTGTATGCTACAAAATCTAGCATCTAGTTCTGTTTCCTTAACTACTATATCAGTTCCACTATATATTTTCAACGGAAGGCTAACAACAATAGAGAAGAGCATAGAATAATTTTTGTTCGAAATAACATGATGTTTTATTATGCTTGCTTCTGTGTAGGATATACTAACAAAAACCAAGTTTACTTTTCAAAATTATATTTATTTATTTTTTGGACAAGGGATGTAGCATGGTCTAGAAACTAAGACCTATTGGTCATCTTATAACCCAACCCATTCGTTTGCCACTGAGCCACGTCTCAGTCTCAGTCTTATCATGCCTTTAATTTGATGCTACTTTTCTGAAAGGAATGGTCGGAAGGGAAAGGTAGTCATATCACATTGTGGCTTTCATTTGACGCTTTACGCTAACAACCTAAATTATTTGAGTGAGGGTTTCTTAAGTTAATGCTTGAGCAGTCTTCTTGAACATCACTTTTTACACTGTGGCTTATGGTTGCTATCTGTTGTTTGTTCAAGAAGCTGGATTAGCATATAGATATTTAGTGCCCTTTTCTGTATGCACCCAAATAACCCTCAGCATATACTATGGCATAAGTATCATCATTACATCAAGTTAGGAGGGATAAATCAGGTTGACGACTAGTGAAAAACAAATTTATTCATCCATCCATGGTACTTTCCTCTATCTCAAGTGAAGTTGCATCTTAGCCTACCCTTTCCAGGTGGGGAATGGTTTGCATGATTGGCTTTTTATTTAGTGCTAAATATCTGTAAGATGGGTGATTATGGTGATTAATCACTTCCTAATTTATCATTGATAATGATCGTGTATGAAACTTCCAATAAGAAAACTCTAGGAGCTGTCTGTTTGTGTTAGAAATATTAGAGTATACTTAGGGATGTTGAAACCTTGAGCCATTTACATTTATTTGGTGTAGGCACGAGAATATGTCATTATTTTTTCTTCTTCCATATGAACATACAATGTGGCATTATTTTTTCTTCTTCCATATGCACATACAATGAAGAAGATTTACATTAAGGGCCTGTTTGTTTGCACGGAAGTAATTATGAAGTAGTTGAAGTAAAGTAAGTAGAGACTACTTCTGCTACTTCCGAGCAAAAATGCACGTTTGTTTTTCTGAAAAACCTCCTTTCAATATTTTCTTAAACACTAATGTGGCGCCTGAGTGTCATCCCTACTTCCTAAATATTTTTCCGCACCTCAAGGCTTGGAAGTAGCCCTGAAGTGGGTGAAATGTGCATTAATTAGGAAATAAATAAATTTTCTTATTAATATTTCCTTTATTAGTTACTCCCTAACAACTTTTTATTGCTACCCAAACAAAAAAAGGGAATGAATAATGAAAAAAATATTATTTCCACAACTCCAAAAATTGTTTAAAACAAACAAAAAAAGCATTACTTCCTACTTCATGAATTTGATAGTTACTTCTTTGATCTATTTCCTACTTCCAGTACTTATATCAAACCAAACGGGGCATAAACGTATTCTTCCTGATGTTGTTTGGAAAGTCGGCTGATAATCAGATTCATGTTTCTTTAGTGGATGTGAACGTACCATAATGACAGGTTGGAATTGAATAGCCCTGTCCGTAATACTGTTACCTTTAGCTTCTCATACTCCCAGCTGAACCAAGTACATGTTTCTATCAATTGTGCATTTAAGTTGTGGTGAGATCACTCATACACTCTGTTTGATATTATACATTCCTCTATTCTTGCTTAGCTACTTCACAATTCATCTGCTCTTACACTCATCGGTAAGTTAAATGGACTGTATATTGGTTTGACCTTCAAAATATGCATTCCATCTCTTTCTTTCATTCTACTTGTTTTGGAAGACTTCCATGATTTGTTTTTTTTTTAAGACTATGACTAATAGATAATGTTCTGCTTTCTCTGTTCCTCTTATGTATATGCAGGGACCTGATTCCAAGGCTGCAACAGAACTTATAAGAGCTAATGGGATGCTGGATACAATTATACGACACTTAAGAGAATCGTATGTATTTTTTGGCCTTATAATTATAATGAGCTAAGTTGAGTGCTGCTCATCATATGTGAGCCTCTTTTGGTTTTGGGCCATTTTTAAGTAAATTGACTCAAATTGTTTCTGTTAAATTTTACAATGCAATGGTATTATCACACTACGGAAATACTGTTATCCTCTGACCATAAACAAAAGGAGAAATTTTTTAAAAAGATGTTTTTTAATTTTATTAGCAAAATGGACCCTTTTATCATTTAGTTAGCAAAATTGATCTCTTTTTGGCCACGTCATCACGGCTGGCCAAAAGGAGGTCGATTTTGCAAAATAGTCTTTAAAATACACAGAAACACTAGTTCTGTGTATTTAGCGATCACTAATCGCAGGTTAATTAGATCTTTAAGTATACACAGGACTGGTAGTCCTGTGTATACACAAATTAGAAATACTGTAATTAGCAACGATCTTTGTTGACACTGCCCTTTCCAATAAACCCACCTTATTTGACATGGTTAATAAAAAAGCTTGTGGGAGTGGTACATGGTATGCAATGTAGACCTTAAGCAATAAGATTCTGAGACTTTAAGGTTTAAATTGGAGATCGATCCATATCAAGCTCAGATTGCTCGGTTTTCGACTTTTTGTCTAAATGTTCCTTTCTGCCTTAAAATGACGATATTTTAAGCTAGGGTAAAAGGCATGTAGCTATTATATGACCTTAATCTACTTTTGACTGGTATAAACTTACACTACATGCTGACCTCTCTCAGTAGTCTTATCACTATAGGAATACTCTAATTCAGCACTTTTTCTCTAAATAGATAACTTCACATACTCAAGGTTCTTAAATAGATCAATTTTTAATTTCTATTTCTGGACCAAATATCTAAAAGCAATTGGTTCTTTGTAGATATTCTCTTATGTGATATGATGCTTGTTGGTAGAAACATTATGTTTGAGAGTTTGATCCTTTAATCCATTGTCCCCCTATTAATTTTATTTTCCACTGTCATTTTCCCATACCCTTTCTTGATGTTACGACTACAACATGCTGAATGAAATGAATATTTGGTGGATTTTCTTTAGAGATGATGAGATGGCGACAGAGGTAGCGTGGGTGGTTGTCTATCTTTCTGCCCTCTCAGAAACTGCTGTGGGTTTGCTGGTAAAAACTGATATTGGTCAAGTTCTGGTTGAAAGATTATCAGCATCAGAGAGTTTACAATTACTCATTCCGGTAATGTCCATACGCAAGATACTGTTTTTGGATTCCCCTATGAATTAATTAGTCATTATTAGGTAGATTACATGTTATAATTTCTCATATTTCCTTATGGTTCAAATTGTGGAATTCACATCTCAACCTTATATTTCATCATATTCTTTATGGTTCAGATTATGGAATTCACACCACAATCTTAAATCATATGATTCAGATTAGAAATTCATCCCAACTGTGAACTCTCAAATATGAGGTATGTTAGTTGCCATGCACAAGTTAAGTCAGTATCCACATGATTTATCTTTCTGTTTTAATGTGGAGGCATCTACATTTAGAAGTGGATATGGCTTATGGCTTTACCTCCAGTGTGTATGGGTGAGTCTGTGTTTTTTGAGGAGGCAAACTCAATGCGATTACCTATAATAACTTTAAATGTAATAAGACACCGTACAAAAGACTGAATTAATCTACATCTGCGGAACAAAACGTGTATACTGTCTTAATATCATTATAGTGTTTCATTGTTTCATTTTAAACAGTAATAACGTAGAAGCCATTCATGATTTACTTATTTATTTATTTTAGACTAGATGGCTTTGAGCAGCAATTCTGTGTACCCAACTAACTATACTTCATTCAATGATTATGATCGTACTAAATAGTTAATTGGCTTTCTGGAGCTATCTCAGAAAGGGATCATATGCATTTAGTTTACTTGGTAGATTTAGTTCAACACTTATACTACCATTCTATTAATTTTTAATTCAGCATATGCTTACATTTAAAAAGAATTACTCGGATACCAGCACTAATAGGCACGCCTGGGGGGTACTTACATTCCGCTCACTATTGTGTAGCTCATCTTTTTATCATGTTCTCATACTCTGATTCTTTACATCTTGTAACTAAAATGAAATTTCAAATTTTAATTCAATTAGGATGGGCAAGGTCTAAATTTTAATAGTGGGTACAAGCATTTGAATTTCAACAATCTCATGTTTGATTACGTTGTATTAACTGATGATTAGTAGTTTTTTTCATGCAGGTGCTTCGTAGTCTAGGTAATCTTGTAGCTGCTAGCAGCTACATGATTACTCATGTTCTCCTTGTCGGGCACAGTATAACAGGTTCTCATGCTTTCCTTGCTTTGTAGCTATCTTTTATCGTTGCTGAACCAGACGTACTAACATATTTTGGTCTCCAGATAAAGCCATTTCAGCTTTGGTCAAGTGTCTAAAACATAACCATCGAGTCTTAAAGAAGGTATCGAAGATACATTTATGTTTTCTCATGATATCTTTAAACTAATGTCGCAGCTCATGATATCTTTGAACTATCTTTAGGAGGCCGCATGGGTTCTATCCAACATTGCAGCAGGGTCAATTGAGCACAAAAAACTGATATTTTCTAGTGACGCAATGCCTTTGTTACTTCATTTACTGTCAACTGCACAATTTGACATAAGAAAAGAAGTAGCATACACCCTTGCAAACCTCTGTGTTTCTCCAGCTGAGGGTTCAAGGGAGCCAAACATAATATTGGATCACCTAGTTTCACTGATTAAACATGGTTGCCTCCCGAGATTTATAAATTTGGTTAGATCTGCGGATATTGAGGGCGCACGACTGGGACTCCAATTCATGGAAGTTGTAAGTAAATTACTGATCAATCTTAATGAGACTCCTCTTTATTATTATTATTATTAATCTTAATGTTTTCCATGTATTGAGTTTGATTATAACTGTAATATAAGAATTGGAAGATATCATTTTTTTTACTGTCCTATGCTTCGTTCAAAGGTACTAATGTCAAGCTCTGCTAATAGGCTGTCCCAGTATGCACGTTACATTGCATGGCTAATTATTTCCATTTTTCTTCTGTGTAGCTTTAATACTAACCTTGGATGATTCCTAAGCAAGGAGGAGGTCTTGTTTCTCCTCGTGGCTTGTTTTCTGAATAGCCATGATTCCGCATTTAGTTTCTACTCATCTGAGAATCCAATTTCCCAATAAAGCTTTAAACCTTGCTTCTTTAAGGGCTATTATAAAAAACAATGATTCTTTTATTTTTGACATTAATGATACTTTTATTTTTGACAATTTCTTTTCGTTGCAGGTTATGAGGGGGATGCCCAACGGCGAAGGCCCAAAGCTGGTTGAGAAGGAAGATGGAATCGATGCCATGGAGAGGTTCCAGTTTCATGAGAATGAAGAAATGAGATGCATGGCAAACAGTTTGGTCGATAAATACTTTGGAGAAGACTACGGCCTTGACGAGTAGAACAATGTGAGATATTGTATTACCGATAGGATCCTGTGATTACAATTACTTTCTGTTCGTTCGTAGATGTTTGATGTTTTGCCTTTGAGAGATGGCTGTGTGACGCTAAGGTGTTGTATTTTGACTAGCTTGGGAAAAGGATTTGAGTGCTTGTGTGTTTGTGATTTCAGGAACTGTCTGTTGGTGTACATCAATAAGAAGAGAATAGTATTGTAACGACGCTCAAAACTTTAAAGACCGGCGGCAGTGCAATGGCCTTGTGCAAAATTGCCCCTCAAATCTTGGTATTTGTAAAATTGCCCCAAATTCTCTCACATTGGGTTTTTTCTGCCCCTCCCATATAACTAAATTGGTTTTTAAACTGTACAATATTTAAAAAATTCCAATAGTTTCCAATTAGGTTGCGACAATTTCCCCATTAAAAATTATAATTGCTAGGTATGAGGGGGTAGAAAAGCCGAATTTGAGAGAATTGAAGGGCAAATTTGCAAGTATCAAGATTTGAGGGGTGATTTTGCAAATATGAAAGATTAAGGGTTATACATGCCAAAATTCCCCAAAAAATACCCCAACTACGCTAATACACAAAAATCATTATGCTGAACAGTAGAATATTATATTTTATTGAAGTTATACCGACATTTTTTGTAGTCTCTTAATACAATTCTCTTAGAAATAGAAGAACGGATTTATAGGGCTGGAAATTAGTGGAACTGATTGCTCGTATTTGTTTTCATTTTAAATTCTTCAAAATTGAAAGTCATTTTCTCGGATTCTTAGAATTTGTATTTGAATTTGAAAGTAAATATTTTTCGAATATTCATGAATATTTATTGATTTTTACCGTATGGTTATCTGATTGATATAAAGCCCTTTATATTTGTCAAAATTAGAATAAAATCTAAATTAAATTACAAAGTATGAGTAAGTCAAAAATGTAACAACATGAATGCAATAATGCAAACAATATTAAAAGATAAAATTTTAAATGCATATTTGATAATCAGCCGAACCACTCGATTCATTCACAAACTGTATTCTAGAAATTCATTTCTATTAAATAAAACTGCGGAATCAAATATAACAGAACAGAGAATTTGTTAACTATTAGGTTTTTTTTTCTCCACTTCTAATTTAGATGGAAAATGATAGGGGCACACTTTCAACCACAATCTTAACCATACATTTTCTCTCATTTGTTATAGTGCATCGGATCCCACATGAGATTTTAATTTAAAATCTCATGTGAGACCCGGTGTGTTGTAACAAATAAGAGAGGGGGTATGGTTGATGGTTGTGGTTGGTGTTGTGCGACTAGTGTCACCCAATTTAGATTCACGACTCCGATCATCTACACTATTTTTGCTCATTCCACTCTTTTATAGGGAAACAAGCTGCATATTTTTGAAACACAGCACTCCCTGGAGCGCTCCGGCCATGATCCCTCTCATCTCTCGAGCGTCCTGGTGCAGGCCGACCTCATGGCCGCCATGGCCGAGCTCCTCCGGCGGGATCTCCATCTCCTCGCCCTCCGCCGCCTCCTCTCTCTTATGAGGGACAAAGGGTGAAGATTGGAGAGGTGAAGTAGCCAAGAATGCGTATGGGTTAAGGAAAAGGGGCCAATTTGGCGCCGACTGGCGACGGCGCCACCCGTTCGATGAAATGCCAAGGTCTTTTTTTTTGGTTTATCTTCCATAATTGCGCTATTTTTGAACTTCTGTAGTATAGTATGTGATAAATAGACGTCCAACTTCTTCATATAAAAATGTAGCCATGTGGGGGTTACTTGCCCTTGATTACTTTGGAGAGTTGTTTAATATGACCGTGCATTATAAAGTCTCAGCTTAATTGTATAATGTATAAGCATAATGAAATGGTTACTTCCTATAAGAACTTCATGCCAGCATAGGATGTAAAGTTAATGGAGTCTTCAAACTATAAGAACTTACATTGTCCACAAAAGATTGACAACAGGGCTTTCGTTTAGTAAGGACCTAGTTGAACCATCTCTGTGAAGGGGTTGTCTTGGCTATTACATCTCTATTGATGGATTCAAACCATGTTTAGCTACTCATGAAAAAATAAATAAATAAAATAAAATAAAATCAAAGTGAAGTAAGCAACTTGTAGAGTCCAAACAAATTATATGTAAGATTGCTTACAATACAAATTTGAGCCCTTGTTAGTCACTTTTGTTATACAAACAAGATCGGAGGTAAATCAGGGCATGTGCAGGGACATGCTCATTGAGATGATTTATTGGGAGGCCTTAGCTTACTTAGGTTATAAACTTAGTCAAAGGGTTGTTTCTAAATGTGCAAGTCCTTTATTTTTTTGGATGTCGTCATGGTCCTTAAAATTTATTGAGTCTTCAGACTACTTGATCCACTCCCCCAAGTTCTGGATATAGTTTACTTTGTCAACTCTAGGGTGATGGCTTCACAATTGGGATTGGGATCCTCTACTAAGACATAGTGCTGCCTAATATCTCCTAATGCATCTTTACCTTTCATTTTATGCATAAGCACAAAATACGAGGAGGTACTATGCAATGAAAGGTGGAGATGCATTAGGAGTTATTAGGAGGCACTATGCCTTAGTAGAGGATCCCAATCCTCACAATTGAGAGATGGGCTTTACCTAATCTGACTTTGTCGTACCATCTGCATCAAGAAATTGTTTTGCTATTATCTCTCCGGTCACTAGAGTCAAACCATGTTAGGTTAGTGAAATTTCTCTCACTTATAAAACATATACTGCAAATGTTGATCTACTCTTATTCTATTCTTTTGCTGAGTCAGACCTCTTGTAATTAGACTATAAGCATAGACTGCTATAAAAAGTTGGTTCTTCGTGAAGGTCCCTGCATATCGTGTTACTACTGAAAGGAAAACTTAACTTAATATCTTTTGATAGAGGTGTTAGGGATTTTATGGATATTAATATGCGGAATTAAACACTAAACGAATAATAACACCAATGAAAATACCATAAGAAGGCAAACACCAAGATTTAACGTGCTTCGACAAATCGTGCCTACGTTCACGGGGCAATCCAAAAAAATATTTTACTATGAATCAAGAGTACAATACCTCCAAGTTACACCCGAACTTGAGGACTAAATCACAAGAGAAAAATACAGTGTTGCCTTTAGGGCACAAAAACCCTAAAACCCGTCTCACCAAAAATCTCCAACACCCACGGAGAAACCAGCACCATACCCTTGACGGCGTCGTCATTCTGAAGACAACAACTTTTGAATCACTGTAATAAGACAACCGAGATATCCAGAATCTGAATTTCTCTCTCTCTTTCTCTCTTGGGTTACTGTAGCCGGTTACTGTAGCTCAAAAAAATTTGCAAGGTTGTCATAAATAGAATTTTTCAGATCTATTCCTATTATAAATAGATCATCTAAATCCTCTTCTAAATAGAATTTTAATTTATGTGAACATCATGTGGGCCTTATCTTGGGCTAGACCCACAACAATCTCCCCCTCCAGCCCAACGAGGGGGTATGCCAATCTGTAACTCCTCAACGGGAGTTCATGCCGGTCAATCGCTAACACAACTCGGTCTTCTCTCTGGAAAATTCACTGCATAATGGGGGTTTAATGGCACCATTACGTGAAAAACGATTTTGAAACTATTCAAATCGTGTTTGAAACAATCAAACGCGAGGTTCGTGTTTGGGAGTGAGCCTTGCTTTCAATTCTGTGAAACGCGGAGGTGAGCCCCGCGTTTGGCTTTTGAAACGTGGAGGTGAGCCCAACGTTTGAAGTTGGGAATGCGAAGGTGGACATTCGCGTTTGGCCTTGTTAGTTGTAATCTCGAATTTTATAAGGATTGTCAGCTTGTAATCCTTATATTTGATTCTTAAAAATATGAAAGTTATCAGTTTGTAACTCTCGTCTGTTGTCGTGAAAGTCGTCAGATAGTTTTTAGACAGCCTACAATAAGCTTAACAACTAACTAAAAAGCATAACAAATGTATAAGCTTAACAACCAATGCATAAGCTTAACAACTGACGAAAAGAAAATCTTTGGGTTCAACTTTCGATCGATCGATCGATCGATCGAGAGAGAGAGAGTCTAACCCAAACCCTAAAAGTTTTAAATGGGGCATAAATTTGGGATAGAATAGGAAGAAGAAAAGTATAGCTTATGTGGCACCACTTTTGGGTTTTTTTTTGTTTTTTTGGTGTGTGTGTGTGTGGGGGGGGGGGGCTTGTTTGAAATTGATTTGATTACCAAAATTGACCTAGTTTAAATTTATTTATCAAAATTGACCTACTTTTAGTTATGTCAGCATGGAGCGCTGAAAGTAGGTCGATTTTGAAAAAAAAACTAGCTTTGAAAGTCTATGTGATTGGCAATCCAATGTAATTAGTGAACTACACTAATCACTTAGCAATTCACTAATTATATGGGATTCAATCCCATATATACTTTGTTTTGAAACTTTTAGCTATAGTGTCGGTTGGTTAAGTAGCTAGAAGATTAAGAGTTAAGTTATGGGTTGAAAAGGCATGTGTTTGAATCTTAGCCAACTAATTAATTATTTCTCTTTTATTTTCAACTTCTGGATAGATAAATAGATAAATAAAATAATGTTAGCAATGATGAGTTTCAAACTCAACACCATTTGAGTAATTGAAGTCTACCTCCCTTTGGAGTTAACCACTTGGCCAACTATGACAATTATATTGATTTGAACTTGAAATTATGTACGAGATTCTCAATCGCGCATAATTAGTAAAATTTGCTAACTGCATGGGGTTATCAATCCTGTAGAATTTTAAAAGTAGTCTTTTTTAAATCAACTTATTTTTAGCGTTCCATGGTGACGTGGCTAAAAGTAGGTCAATTTTGATAAATAATTTTGAAATAGGTCAATTTTGGTGATTAAATATATGATATGGTC